TGTTCTTCTGGGATTGATTTGCACTTTTCGCAACAAAGTATGTTCATCTCTAGGAGACAGAACGTGTCTCCTTCCTGAGCGGTATGACGGCTGCATGGTCCCATGGTGTTTATACTTGCGTACTATTGTTTGTACAGATGAACGTGGTACCTTCAGGCGTTTGGAAATTGCTCCCAAGGATGAACCAGACTTGTGGGGGTCTGAGGTCTTGGCTGATTTCTTTTGATTTTCCTATGATGTCAAGCAAAGAGGCACTGAGTTTGAAGGTAGGCCTTGAAATACATCCACAGGTACACCTGCAATTGACTCAAATGATGTCTATTAGCCTATCAGAAGCTTCTAAAGCAGGGGTGTCAAACGTCCGGCCCGCGGGCCGGATCAGGCCCGCAAACGGGTTTAATCCGGCCCGCGAGATGATAAAAAAAAAAAAGATATATATATATTTAATAATCATTTTGTAAAGTATAAAAATGCGCTGCAATTTTTCAATAAAATAAACTGCTGTTCCAATTGCGTCCACTGGATGGCGCAATAGCAATTGTGTTAAGCAACCAAACTGTTTATACCGGGGCAGAGCAAGTAGGTCAAGCACGTGCAGCCAATGAGCTACTTTGTTTTGCCCGCGATATTTATTACGGCTTCTACTTTTAACATTATGTGCTTTGGCACCCTCATTGCCCCAATATGTCTCTGTCAAAAAAGAGAAAAGTGGACGCAGAGTGTTCCAAGAAAAATGGTCATCCTATTTATGCTGAAAGAATATAACCTTCGTCGCCACTATGTGAGTCTTCATGCCGACAAATATGACAACTTTCAAGGAGAGCGGAGATGAGAGAAGGTGAATGAACTGTTGGCGGGTCTGAAGAAACAGCAGTCTGTGTTTACTCACAGCCGAGACATCAGTGACGCTGCAGTGAAAGCTAGCTACCTCATTGCTAATGAAATCGCAGTGGCTTCAAAACCATTTAGTGAGGGTGAATTTGTAAAAACATGCATGATGAAGGCAGCGGAGATTGTGTGCCCTGAAAAGCGGCAGGCTTTTGCAAATATCAGCCTGACAAGAAACACAGTTGCAGACAGGATTTCCGATCTTTCAGTGGATTTGGACAGCCAGTTGAAGCAAAAAGTAAAGTCATTTATTGCGTTTTCGGTTGCAATTGATGAAAGCACGGAAATTACAGATGTTGCACAACTGGCCATTTTCATCCGCGGAGTTGATGACACATTGACCGTCACCGAGGAGTTCGTGGAGTTCGTGCCGATGACAGATACAACGACAGCAGCTGATATTTTTACCGCACTCGTCGGCGCGCTGGACAGGGTCAGAGTGGACTGGTCCCGCGCTGTCAGCCTGGCTACAGATGGTGCGCCCTCAATGATCGGGAAAAAAGCAGGCGTTGTGACAAAGTTCAGAGAGAAAGTGCAATCTGCAAATGGAGGACGTGATTTTTTGACTTTTCACTGTATTTTGCACCAGGAGGCTTTGTGTTGCAAGTCATTAAAGATGGATAACGTCATGAAGGTGGTCATCCAAACTGTTAATTTCATCCGATCCAGAAGCCTGAATCACCGTCAGTTTGACAGCCTTCTCAGAGAGAAAGACCACATCTATGGCCTGCCATACCACACTGAGGTAAGATGGTTAAGCCGAGGTGCTGTGCTGAGGCGTTTCTTTGATTTACGAGAAGAAATTGAACAGTTCATGGAAGAAAAGGGCAAACCAGTGTTAGAATTTCATTCCGCAGAATGGATGCAGGACCTTGCATTTATGGTGGATGTTACAGAGCACCTGAATAACTTGAACAAACAGCTGCAAGGGCGCAACAAAGTTGTCACGCAGTATTATGACAGCATACGTTCTTTCAAGTTGAAGCTGTCATTGTGGGAGACGCAACTTGCCGGTGGTGATGCAGCTCACTTCCCCTGTCTGAAAAATGTGTGCGCGACCCAACATGTGGCAGACATGAAGCGGTTCAAAGATAAAATAACGGGACTGTTACGGGAGTTTGAGCAACGCTTTCAGATTTATGTTTATATGTTTTTATGTTGATGTGCTATTGTTTTTAATTGATTTTATTTTATTTGTATATTTAACCTATTCTTGACTCTGTGGTTCTTGCACTTGTTTGGGGAACAGGATTTCATTATTTTTATCTACATTTCTGCCTGAGAAATGACACCCTGATATAGTTCTGTGATCTGTGATATACTTCTGTGAATCACTGAGGCATTGTGTGTTTGTGTGTTCTTTGTCCTCAGAACTTTCAAATAACTTGAGGTGTTTTATGATTAATAGTGATGTTGTGCTTTTGGACACTGTCCTCAGGCTCCAGCTTTATGTTTATATGTTTTTATGTTGATGTGCTATTGTTTTTAATTGTTTTTATTTTATTTGTATATTTAACCTATTCTTGACTCTGTGGTTCTTGCACTTGTTTGGGGAACAGGATTTCATTATTTGTATCTACATTTCTGCCTGAGAAATGACACCCTGATATAGTTCTGTGATATACTTCTGTGAATCACTGAGGCATTGTGTGTTTGTGTGTTCTTTGTCCTCAGAACTTTCAAATAACTTGAGGTGTTTTATGATTAATAGTGATGTTGTGCTTTTGGACACTGTCCTCAGGCTCCAGCTTTATGTTTATATGTTTTTATGTTGATGTGCTATTGTTTTTAATTGATTTTATTTTATTTGTATATTTAACCTATTCTTGACTCTGTGGTTCTTGCACTTGTTTGGGGAACAGGATTTCATTATTTTTATCTACATTTCTGCCTGAGAAATGACACCCTGATATAGTTCTGTGATCTGTGAAACAGTTCTGTGAATCACTGAGGCATTGTGTGTTTGTGTGTTCTTTGTCCTCAGAACTTTCAAATAACTTGAGGTGTTTTATGATTAATAGTGATGTTGTGCTTTTGGACACTGTCCTCAGGCTCCATCTTTATGTTTATATGTTTTTATGTTGATGTGCTATTGTTTTTAATTGTTTTTATTTTATTTGTATATTTAACCTATTCTTGACTCTGTGGTTCTTGCACTTGTTTGGGGAACAGGATTTCATTATTTGTATCTACATTTCTGCCTGAGAAATGACACCCTGATATAGTTCTGTGATATACTTCTGTGAATCACTGAGGCATTGTGTGTTTGTGTGTTCTTTGTCCTCAGAACTTTCAAATAACTTGAGGTGTTTTATGATTAATAGTGATGTTGTGCTTTTGGACACTGTCCTCAGGCTCCAGCTTTATGTTTATATGTTTTTATGTTGATGTGCTATTGTTTTTAATTGATTTTATTTTATTTGTATATTTAACCTATTCTTGACTCTGTGGTTCTTGCACTTGTTTGGGGAACAGGATTTCATTATTTTTATCTACATTTCTGCCTGAGAAATGACACCCTGATATAGTTCTGTGATCTGTGAAACAGTTCTGTTAATCACTGAGGCATTGTGTGTTTGTGTGTTCTTTTTCTTTAGAATTTTCAAATAAACTTGACGTGTTTTATGATTAATAGTGATGTTGTGCTTGTACTATTTTGGACACACTGTCCTCAGGCTCCAGCTTTATGTTGTATGTTGATCGTATTAAAACAAAGAAAACAATCTGAAGTTGTTGTTTTTAAGTTATATATACCATGATTTTTCCGGTCCGGCCCACTTGGGAATAGATTTTCCTCCATGTGGCCCCTGAGCTAAAATGAGTTTGACACCCCTCTTCTAAAGCCATGACATCATTTTCTGGAATTTTCCAAGCTGTTTAAAGGCACAGTCAACTTAGTGTATGTAAACTTCTGACCCACTGGAATTGTGATACAGTGAATTATAAGTGAAATAATCTGTCTGTAAACAATTGTTGGAAAAATTACGTGTGTCATGCACAAAGTAGATGTCCTAACCGACTTGCCAAAACTATAGTTTGTTTACAATACATTTGTGGAGTGGTTGAAAAACCTAAGTGTATGTAATCTTCCGACTTCAACTGTACATGCAGCCTGGTCCAGGCCAATTGACGGAAGCCTCTGAATAAGTAATGAGTGATCCATAGTGTCGAAGGCTTTAGACAGGTTAATAACAGAGGCCGCACAGTGTTTATTTTTATCCAAACAATTAAGAAAATCATTTGAAACCAAAGTAGCAAAGATGGTGCTATAATCTGGTCTGAAACCTGACTGATGTACATTTAGAATACATTTCGTAGTTAAAAAGGATCTAAGTTGAGTATTTTCCAAGGATTCTAAAATGTTTGGTAGGCAAGAGAGTTTGGAAATAGGGCTATAATTATTTAGGTCACACAGATCACCACCTTTGTGAAGTATATGGGCCGCCTTCCAGACCCTGGGGATGGTACCAGAAATAATTGTTAGGTGAAAAATAATAGTTATTATTCTGCAATCAGAGGAGCAGAAAGCTGCAACAAGAAAGGGTCAAACAAATCAGCCCCAGTGGATTTTTTAAACATCTATCTTGCGCAAGACGTCCTGCACATCACAAGTAGAAAGCTGTTGAAATGAAAACAAAGATTCACTAGAGGTTGACAGAACTTCCATCGAGCCAACTAAAGGCTGGGAGAGGGGCAGGCAGTCGACTGGCTGACCAGGGTCAATTGAACCACAATTTATTTCAAATAAAAAGCCTGCCCCTGTATATTCTGGTCAGTAAACAAGGTGCCAATGTTGTACAAGGCAACCATATAGTTTGATGTTTTATTTGCATTGAAAAACATTGTATAGGATTGTTGATCATGATGTATTGTGACATTTTTGCAGGCTTTGCAGCCTTATAATTTGGTATAGTTTTGCCTTATAAGTTTGCTCTAGTAAATGCATAGGCTTAAAAAAATACATATTTTATAAGATATATTCTGATGATATTAGTGTATTTTGCACATCATTTGATACAGAAGGCCACAGTAGCCTATACCAAGTTATGCTCAGATGTTCAGGCCATGAATCGATGCGTTCGAGACTCGCTTCTAAACCTTTGAGAGTTGCTACTAGCTAGACCTATTAATCGATTGCCGAACCACGACAACGTGAAGCAGAAATGGAGCAATCGGTTGGTTCACTGCAGGAACAAGCATTAAAAAGGAAAGAAAGACTTAAAGCTTTGAGAGGTCGACAACTTCAAGTGAGTATCAACCAAAAATAACATTGTGTCTGTGTTGTAAACAGTACAAAAATAGAGTTAGCAAGCTAGCTACCAGCAGTTTGAGTTAGCTAGCTACGTTAGCTGATGGAAAGAACAGGAGCTCGTTACACACAGCATTGCGCTTGACATTCGTTTGAAATTTACATAGCTAGCTAACTGTGCACAACGGATTAACTGGAAAATCAAATCACAGATTCTACATGGCTAGCTAGTTAGATAACTACTAGGCTAGCTAGCTAACGTTAAATAGTTAGCAAGCTAGCTAACTAGCTGTCTGTATTTAGCTTGCTATGCTAGTTAGCTAGTTGTGAACTGGTGGTGAAATTAGCTAGCTAGCAATGCTGGGATAATTTACTCAAACATGTTGGTTCATTAATCAACTGTTGATATCGCTGAGAACGCTCAACTGTTCTCTTATATCGAGACAGAGTTGAGTTTTGATAACGTCGCAGGATTTGCTTGCAACAACCTGTCTAAATGACTATAGCCCCGTAGCAGTGGCGGCTCCTGAAAAAATTCTCAGGGGGGGCAATTTTTCTGAAGATTTAGGTGACCTACACACATTTAAAAAAAGATATGTCCAGCAACAACATGAAGACAGGGGCAGCATATAAGTCAATACCAGAAGCATTTATTGACTGATCTCAAAAGTGTTGGCTTACAAAAGCAAAATAAGTTATCACAGTAAAAATAATCAAGGGTGTTCTTTCACATTCCTCAACACTGCATAAACAATATGCATTTCCATAAAACACCTCATCTAATTGTGCCACAAAGTTGACAAGTCCAAGAAAAATACCAGGGTTGGTGGAGCCCTCAGTTTCATCTTTGCCTCGCAAAGCTAACTCAAACACTCCGCAAAACTTCACACACTGGATTAGCCGGCTGAGGATGTGGCGGTTCTTGCTAACCTCATCGTTGTGGCGGCGGACAGCTAGCCTGTATCCCTCATCCAGTTGAGTGGCAATGTTCACTCTCCCCAAAGCAGACAATCTCAAACAGCTATCCATGTGGGTCTTTGACAGCTCATGTTTCTTAATCTTTTCTGAAAGATGGTGCATGTCCGTTACACCAGTCGCTGTCCAAGCGGTGCTGTCTGCCGTGCCGCCTTCAGGGTGAAAGAGTAAGCAGGGGTAGCAGAAGACTGCATTAGCTACATCGCAGCCTGCTAGCCAGGTTTTTCATTCGTACCAATTTTTGGAAAATCCTCGGGTGTAGGACTTTCCCCCTTTAGTAGAAACCTGTTGAATTATTAAATTTGGTCTGGGAGGTCCTAATTGTTTCGTTGCCAATTTATCTTGATTTGTTCGCCGACAAAAAGGAACTTCTTTCAAAGAGACAATCGAGTTGCACTGAACGCTAGCCATCTTGACAGTAGTACGTGAATTGATTGACGCTGCTACCCGCTCTTTTCTTAGTTACGTTCATGGTTATGTTACGTATGACGAAAGCGCGTAAGTGCAAGCCCTCCCGGAACCCATAGAGATTGTATTGAAAGCTCTCATATTTGAAAAAAAAAAGATTTTACATGAGAGTCTATGAGAGACTTCTGGGGCGATTTTCAACCTGACTGAAATCGCCCCAAAAGGGGCGGGGCCATTTGAAGCACGACTTTAGCCTGATTGGACATTTAGTGGCAGATCAGACGTCTAGATTAGAACACTGATAACTACTGTTGCCGTGATATAATTGATTAGAAAAAAAATCCCTTCCGTTTGGCAGTGCGTCGCCCATATCGCCCTAATGAACACCCTGCCCCGTAGTACGCACATCTGGCCCCTGTAGCTCAGTTGGTAGAGCATGGTGCTTGCAACGCTAGGGTTGTGGGTTCGTTTCCCACGGGGGGCCAGTATGAAAATGTATGCAATCACTAACTGTAAGTCGCTCTGGATAAGAGCGTCTGCTAAATGACTAAATGTAAATCTGTAGCCATGATACGTTTTGAAAGGCTGGTCATGGCTCACATCAACACCATCATCCCAGACACCCTGGACCCACTCCAATTCGCATACCGCCCCAACAGATCCACAGATGACGCAATCTGTTCATGTGAGAATGCTGTTAATTGACTAACGTCACAGCTCAGCGTTCAACACCATAGTGCCCTCCAAGTTCATCACTAAGCTAAGGACCCTGGAACTGAACACCTCCGACTGCAACTGGATCCTGGACTTCCTGACGGGCCTCCCCCAGGTGGTGAGTGTAGGCAACAACACATCCGCCAAGCTGACCCTCAACTCGGGGGCTCCTCAGGGGTTCGTGCTTAGTCCCTTCCTGTACTCCCTGTTCACCCACAACTGCGTGGCTGCGCACGACTCCAACACTATCATTAAGTTTGCTAATGACACGACAGTGGTAGGCCTGATCACCAACGACGATGAGACAGCCTATAGGGAGGAGGTCAGAGACCTGGCAGTGTGGTGCCAGGACAACAACCGCTCCCTCAATGTCAGCAAGACAAATGAGCTGATCGTGGACTACAGGAAACCGAAGGGCCGAGTACACCCCCATTCACATTGACGGGGCTGTAGTGAAGCGGGTCGAGAGCTTCAAGTTACTCGGTGTCCACATCTCTAAGAGCTACAGAGGGTAGTGAGTACGGCCCAGTACATCACTGGAGCCGAGCTTCCTGCCATCCAGGACCTCTATACCAGGCGGTGTCAGAGGAAGCCCCTAATAATTGTCAGACGCCAGCCACCCAAGTCATATACTGTTATCTGCTACCGCACGGCAAGCGGTACCAATGCACCAAGTCTGGAACCAACAAATCAAATCAAATTTTATTGGTCACACACATATTTAGCAGATGTTATTGCGGGTGTAGCGTAATGCTTGTGTTCCTAGCGCCAACAGTGCAGTAGTATCTAACAATTCACAACAATACACAAATCTGAAAGTAAAAGAATGGAATTAAGAAATATATAAATATTAGGACGAGCAATGTCTGAGTGGCATTTACCAAAATACAATAGAATAGAATACAGTATATACATATGAAATGAGTAAAGCAGTGTGTAAACATTATTAAAGTGACTAGTGTTCCATTGTTAAAGTGGCCAGTGATTCCACGTCTATGTATATAGGGTAGCAGCCTCTAAGGTGCAGGGTTGAGTAACCGGGTGGTAGCCGGCTAGTGATGGCTATTTAACAGTCTTATGGCCTTGAGATAGAAGCTGTTTTTCAGTCTCTTGGTCCCAGCTTTGATGCACATGTACTGACCTCGCCTTCTGGGTGATAGCGGGGTCAACAGGCCGTGGCGCGGGTGGTTGATGTCCTTGATGATCTTTTTGGCCTTCCTGTGACATCGGGTGCTGTAGGTGTCCTGGAGGGCAGGCAATGTGCCCCCGGTGATGCGTTGGGCAGACCGCACCACCCTCTGGAGAGCCCTGCAGTTGCGGGCGGTGCAGTTGCCGTACCAGGCGGTGATACATCCCGACAAGATTCTCTCAATTGTGAATCTGTAAAAGTTTCTGAGAGTCTTGGGGGGCCAAGTCGTATTTATTCAGCCTCCTGAGGCTGTTGCGCCTTCTTCACCACACTGTATGTGTGGGTGGACCATTTCAGATTGTCAGTGATGTGTACGCCGAGGAACTTGAAGCTTTCCACCTTCTCCACTGCGGTCCCGTTGATGCTGTTTCCTGAAGTCCACGATCAGCTCCTTCATTTTGTTGACGTTGAGGGAGAGGTTATTTTCCTGGCACCACTCTGCCAGGTCCCTCACCTCCTCCCTGTAGGCTGTCTCGTCATTGTTGGTAATCAGGCCTACTACTGTTGTGTCGTCTGCAAACTTGATGATTGAGTTGGAGGCGTGGCATGGCCACGTAGTCATGGGTGAACAGGGAGTACAGGAGGGGGCTGAGCATGCATCCTTGTGGGTCCCCTGTGTTGAGTATCAGTGAAGTGGAGGTGTTTCCTACCTTCACCATCTGGGGGCGGCCCGTCAGGAATTCCAGGACCCAGTTTCACAGGGCGGGGTTCAGACCCAGTGCCCCGAGCTTAATGATGAGCTTGGAGGGTACTATTGTGTTGAAGGCTGAGTTATAGTCAATGAACAGCATTCTGACTTAGGTATTCCTCTTGTCCAGATGGGATAGGGCAGTGTGCAGTGCGTTGGCTATTGCATCGTCTGTAGATCTATTGGAGCAGTAAGCAAATTGAAGTGGGTCTAGCGTGTTAGATAAGGTAGAGGTGATATGATCCTTAACTAGCTTCTCAAAGCACTTCATGATGACAGAAATGAGTGCTGTCGGGCGATAGTCATTTAGTTCAGTTACCTTTGCTTTCTTGGGTACAGGAACAATGGTGGACATCTTGAAGCAAGTGGGGACAGCAGACTGGGATAGGGAGAGATTGAATATGTCCGTAAACAACAGGACCCTGAACAGCTTCTACCCCCAAGCCATAAAACTGCTAAATAGTTAGTCTGGGTAGCTATTTAGTTAAATATTTAACTATCTCCATTGACCCTTTTTGCACTAACTTTTTTGACTCATCGCATACACTGCTGCTACTGTTTATCTGTCACTTTATTCCTACAGTGGGGAGAACAAGTATTTGATACACCAATTTTGCAGGTTTTCCTACTTACAAAGCATGTAGATGTCTGTAATTTTTATCATAGGTACACTTCAACTGTGAGAGACAAAAATCCAGAAAATCACATTGTATGATTTTTAAGTAATTCATTTGCATTTTATTGCATGACATAAGTATTTGATCACCTACCAACCAGTAAGAATTCCGGCTCTCACAGACCTGTTAGTTTTTGTTTAAGAAGCCCTCCTGTTCTCCACTCATTACCTGTATTAACTGCACCTGTTTGAACTCATTACCTGTATAAAATACACTTGTCCACACACTCAATCAAACAGACTCCAACCTCTCCACAATGGCCAAGACCAGAGAGCTGTGTAAGGACATCAGGGATAAAATTGTAGACCTGCACAAGGCTGGGATGGGCTACAGGACAATAGGCAAGCAGCTTGGTGAGAAGGCAACAACTGTTGGCGCAATTATTAGAAAATGGAAGAAGTTCAAGATGACGGTCAATCACCCTCGTTCTGGGGCTCCATGCAAGATCTCACCTCGTGGGGCATCAATGATCATGAGGAAGGTGAGGGATCAGCCCAGAACTACACGGCAGGACCTGGTCAATGACCTGAAGAGAGCTGGGACCACAGTCTCAAAGAAAACCATTAGTAACACACTATGCCGTCATGGATTAAAATCCTGCAGCGCACGCAAGGTCCCCCTGCTCAAGCCAGCGCATGTCCAGGCCCATCTGAAGTTTGCCAATGACCATCTGGATGATCCAGAGGAGGAATGGGAGAAGGTCATGTGGTCTGATGAGACAAAAATAGAGCTTTTTGGTCTAAACTCCACTCGCCGTGTTTGGAGGAAGAAGGATGAGTACAACCCCAAGAACACCATCCCAACCGTGAAGCAAGGAGGTGGAAACATCATTCTTTGGGGATGCTTTTCTGCAAAGGGGACAGGACCACTGCACCGTATTGAGGGGAGGATGGATGGGGCCATGTATCGCGAGATCTTGGCCAACAACCTCCTACCCTCAGTAAGAGCATTGAAGATGGGTTGTGGCTGGGTCTTCCAGCATGACAACGACCCGAAACACACAGCCAGGGCAACTAAGGAGTGGCTCCGTAAGAAGCATCTCAAGGTCCTGGAATGGCCTAGCCAGTCTCCAGACCTGAACCCAATAGAAAATCTTTGGAGGGAGCTGAAAGTCCGTAATGCCCAGCGACAGCCCCGAAACCTGAAGGATCTGGAGAAGGTCTGTATGGAGGAGTGGGCCAAAATCCCTGCTGCAGTGTGTGCAAACCTGGTCAAGACCTACAGGAAACGTATGATCTCTGTAATTGCAAACAAAGGTTTCTGTACCAAATATTAAGTTCTGCTTTTCTGATGTGTCAAATACTTATGTCATGCAATAAAATGCAAATTAATTACTTAAAAATCATACAATGTGATCTTCTGGATTTTTGTTTTAGATTCCGTCTCTCACAGTTGAAGTGTACCTATGATAAAAATTACAGACCTCTACATGCTTTGTAAGTAGGAAAACCTGCAAAATCGGCAGTGTATCAAATACTTGTTCTCCCCACTGTAGTTATATGTACATATCTACCTCAATTACCTTGTACCACTGAAAATCGACACGGTACTGGAACCTTATGTGTGTATGTACAGTGGGGGAAAAAAAGTATTTAGTCAGCCACCAATTGTGCAAGTTCTCCCACGTTTGACCTGTGTCATTGCCAACAAAGGGTATATAACAAAGTATTGAGAAACTTTTGTTATTGACCAAATACTTATTTTCCACCATAATTTGCAAATAAATTCATTAAAAATCCTACAATGTGATTTTCTGGATTTTTTCCCCTCATTTTGTCTGTCATAGTTGACGTGTACCTATGATGAAAATTACAGGCCTCTCTCATCTTTTTAAGTGGGAGAACTTGCACAATTGGTGGCTGACTAAATACTTTTTTCCCCCACTGTAGCCAAGTTATTGCTACTCATTGTGTATTTATAATTGTTATTACTTTTCTGTCATTTCTCTTTTCATACATTGTTGGGAAGGGCCTGTGAGTAAGCATTTCACTGTTAGTCCACACCTGTTGTTTACCAAGCATGTGACAAATAAAATTTGATTTGACAACATTTAGCCACCATCAGTCAATTCTTGTAAAAGTGTCAATGCTGAAAACGCTTACATGTACCTATGTTTAGGGTAGGGACGTCCCAAGGATTCCGGATAGCACGGACCCAATTGAATCTCAGTTTACATAGTACGAGATAAAAGTCAGTAGTTGTATTCACTAAAAGTTTTTATTAAAGGTATGAATTTCAGCACCCTGCGGAAGGACCGCAGTTGTACAGGACTAACATAGGTACAGGTAAGCGTTTTCAGAATTGACATTTTTACAATAATTGACTGATGGTGACTCAATGTTGTTGCTAGCAAATCCCGCAAAAAGTTATCAAATCTCAACTCTGCCTCGATATAAGAGAACAGAGTTGAGCGTTCCTCAGCTGCTGTTGATATGGTCCCAAACAATTGTGCATGTCAGGAGTAATTCAAGTTTTCAAGATGGAGCACTTAGGTACTGAAAAAACTCAAGAGGTGTGATGATCCGTTTTGTATCCTACGATGCATTTTATATCATCACACTTTTTTGCTTTGTAACTTAGTTAGCTAGCTGGCAGATGCTTTGTTCACTATGGCCCCTCTACATTTGGGCTGATCATATGGTCCATTAAAAGTCTCTCCCACTCACAAAAGATAGCTAGTCATCATGGGTCCTCAACTTATAGCTACGTGATACATGCCACCAGTGTTTCCCTACTAGGGACAGGCCCCTCGCCTAGCTCTGTGGTCCCTGCCTAAAAGAGTTTGGCTTTTATCAGTTACACACACACACTGTATGTAGCCTAGAAGTGTGAGTGCTGTGTACACACACTGTTATGTAGTCTACCAGTGTGACTGAGTACGACCAACACAACCAAAGTCCACTTTACAGCTTCCCCCTTGAGCCTCAGTCCTGTTGTTTACATTGGTATTTTGTTCTACTGCTGCAAACATCCTCCTACCTCCAAATTACACTACATGTGCTGTTTGTTTCAAGGGCAAGCAAGCCACCGTTTTGGCCATTAGACTTGGTCTCCGTCCCAAATGGCACCCTACGCCCTGGGCTCTGTTGAATAGGGTGCCATTTGTGACACACTCTGGGTATTTCCTTCTGTGTGTTTGGCTAAGCCAGCCAGTGACAGCCCCGTCGAAGGGGAACGCTAGAGGGCTTGGCCCAGCAGCTAGGCTGTTCTTGATGGACGGCTGTTGACATTCCTTCAGCATGTGATTGTTGTACTGTACTGGAGAATGAGTTGGTTTGATTGTTCCAGCTGGTGGACAGGAAGCCTCTCCAGGAAAACACAGGACTGGGAGGAGTCCTACTAGGACTCGTTGTTATGCTGTCTGACTTGGGTCACGGTCAATAATATTCTGATATTTTCTCCCCAAAAAATTCTCATAACTTTTTCTGTGAATGTTTATGGTGACATGTTTTCGTACAGGGAACCACTCCTCTGTCTTGTGGCCTGGTTAGTTTGACCAACGCCATCAAAGTGGGCATGACTGTTAGGCTATATTGATTTTTCTGACCAACTCCTATGTTTTTCAAGGATCTCATTGTTTGTATTTGATAGCCCTCAAACCAATGCTACTCGAGCCCATAATGTAAATGTTGCTATTTGAGTCAGAAATGGGCCTACCTCAGAAAGGTAATGAATCATGTTAGTGTACTGGAGAGATGGAAGTGGGTGTGTGTCAGTTGAAGAAAGACGTGATCCTTCTTGCTTACTGTCTGTAGTAGGGACAGGGGAGTAGTGACTCAAACATTATAACAAAATCAATGGGGGCACCATGCCATTTTGGGAATTCTATCTTCTCCCTGACTGTCTAGTTTTTATTTAGGTGATTTGTTAGTTATCAAAGATGATCTTATTTAAAAATGTATTGCTCCATTATCTTTTCTACATACCTTATATATCTTTTGCAGTGTTTGTCACCTTTTAATAGCTCAGTGTTTGTCACCTTTTAATAACCCAGTGTTTGTCACCTTTTAATAGCTCAGTGTTTGTCACCTTTTAATAACCCAGTGTGTGTCACCTTTTAATAACCCAGTGTTTGTCACCTTTTAATAACCCAGTGTTTGTCACCTTTTAATAACCCAGTGTTTGTCACCTTTAATAACCCAGTGTTTGTCACCTTTAATAACCCAGTGTTTGTCACCTTTTAATAGCTCAGTGTTTGTCACCTTTAATAATCCAGTGTTTGTCACCTTTAATAATCCAGTGTGTGTCACCTTTTAATAACCCAGTGTTTGTCACCTTTAATAACCCAGTGTTTGTCACCTTTAATAACCCAGTGTTTGTCACCTTTAATAACCCGGTGTTTGTCACCTTTAATAACCCGGTGTTTGTCACCTTTAATAACCCAGTGTTTGACACCTTTAATAACCCAGTGTTTGACACCTTTAATAACCCAGTGTTTGACACCTTTAATAACCCAGTGTTTGACACCTTTAATAACCCTGTGTTTGTCACCTTTATTGTTTGTCACCTTTAATAACTCAGTGTTTGTCACATTTTAATAACCTAGTGTTTGTCACCTTTTAATAGCTAAGTGTTTGTCACCTTTAATAACCCAGTGTTTGTCACCTTTTAATAACCTAGTGTTTGTCACCTTTTAATAGCTAAGTGTTTGTCACCTTTAATAACCCAGTGTTTGTCACCTTTTAATAACCCAGTGTTTGTCACCTTTTAATAACCCAGTGTTTGTCACCTTTAATAACCCAGTGTTTGTCACCTTTAATAACCCAGTGTTTGTCACCTTTAATAACCCAGTGTTTGTCACCTTTAATAACCCAGTGTTTGTCACCTTTTAAAAACCCAGTGTTTGTCACCTTTAATAACCCAGTGTTTGTCACCTTTAATAACCCAGTGTTTGTCACCTTTTAAAAACCCAGTGTTTGTCACCTGACAGGTGAGAGATGGAGAGGAAGGGGAGCCAGACAGGAAGAAGGAGCGGGCTGAGGAGGAAGCTGAAGAGGAGCGACACAGGTTAGTTTCCGCTGGGTCCTATTCATTAGTACAGAAAACAAAAACAAGCATTTCATATTGGATAAGTTCTGGTAGCCCTCAGGTAGTTTGTCAGTTTTTTCCCCGATGGGTGCCTATAGTGAATTAGACCAAGGTCTCACAATGCACCTCATCCTCCCAGTCAGATGTCCTGTGTTCAGTGTTTACTCTGGGTTGGAGCAGGGCCCTGTGTTAAACAATAGCTGCTCAAATATCCTGCAGCTTACTGGGCTCTATTTCAGCTGCAAGAACAAGAGCAGCCGTCTCTTCCTCCCCTCCCTCCCTCCCTCCTACAGGACAGACACTTTTTTCCATTGTTTATGTTTAATGATAGTCCAGGCAGCACTGTGCTGGCAGTACACTCACAGGCAGGCCATTGCCACATCTCAACGGGATGGAGAATCTTCTGCGTTCCAAATGGCACCCTATCCCCTATTTAGTGCGCTGTTTTTGACAAGAGCCCTATGCGTGCCATGTTGGATGCAGCCTGGTGTTTTGTGGGTCAAACTCAGAATGGAGTAGTGTAGGTCGTGTTATGGACGTTTGTTACAAACACTTTGCTACTTGGAAAATGTTTTATCCCCCCCCCCCCCCCCCCCCCCCATCTGTTAGTCTTCAGAGATAAATATCTTGTGTCCAGCCGTGTAATTATTAAAATTGCATGGGAGCTCAGATTGCAGAACAGCGGTATCAAAGACCAAGATCGTTGTGATGCAGCAAACGTGGTTGTCCTCAAAGTCTTCCTGTTGCGTTCATGTAGCCTGATTGATTATGAACAGTTACATTTTCTCCAGTTTTCTGATAACTAGGGCCAACATGTAGGTTACTGCTACACTACTGTAGGTCCATGGAAAGTACAGCGCATTCAGAAATTATTCAGACCCCTTGACTTTTTCCACATTTTGTTGCATTACAGCCTTTTTCTAAAATTGATTAAATTGTTTTTTCTTCTCATCAATCTACCCACAATACCCCATAATGACAAAGCAAAAACAGGTTTGTATAAATTTTTGCAAGTTTATTCAAATAAATAAATTGAAATATCACATTTACATGATTATTCAGACCCTTTACTCTGTATTTTGTTGAAGCACCTTTTGGCAGCGATTACAGCCTTGAGTCTTCTAGGGTATGACGCTGCAAGCTTGGCACACCTGTATTTGGGGAGTTTCTCCTATTCTTCTCTGCAGATCCTCTCAAGCTCTGTCAGGTTGGATGGGGAGTGTCGCTGCACAGCTATTTTTAGGTTGCTCCAGAGATGTTTGATTGGGTTCAAGTCTGAGGTCTGGCTAGGTCACTCAAGGACATTTAGAGACTTGTCTCCAAACCACTCCCGCGTTGTCTTGGCTGTATGCTTACGGTCGTTGTCCTGTTGGAAGCTGAACCTTCGCCTCTGTACTTTGCTCTGTTCATCTTTCCCTCGATCCTGACTAGTCTCCCAGTCCCTGCCTCTGAAAAACATCCCCACAGCCTGATGCTGCCACCACCATGCTTCACCGTAGGGATGGTGGCAGATTTCCTCCAGACGTGACACTTGGAATTCAGGCCAAAGAGTTCAATCTTGGTTTCATCAGACCAGAGAATCTTGTTTCTCATGGTCTGAGAGTCCTTTAGGTGCCTTTTGGCAAACTCCAAGCGGGCTGTCATGTGCCTTTTACTGAGGAGTGGCTTCCTTCTGGCCACTCTACCATAAAGGCCTGATTGGTGGAGTGCTGCAGAGATGGTTGTCCTTCTGGAAGGTTCTCCCATCTCCACAGAGGAACTCTGAAGGTCTGTCAGAGTGAACATCCGTACCCTTCCCCCAGATCTGTGCCTCGACACAATCCTGTCTCGGAGCTCTACGGACAATTTCTTTGAGCTCATGGCTTGGTTTTTGCTCTGACATGCACTGGCAACTGAGACCTTATATAGACGTGTGCCTTTCCAAATCATGTCCAATCAATTGAATTTGGACTCTAATCAAGTTGTAGAAACATCTCAAGGATGATCAATGAAAACAGGATGCACCTGAGCAACAATTGAGTCATACTAAAGGGTCTGAATACTTACACTACCATTCAAAAGTTTGGGGTCACTTAGAAATGTCCTTGTTTATCATGAAAACATACATGAAATGAGTTTGAATAGGAAATATAGCAAAATGCATATGTAATGTTGTCATTGACAAGGTTAGAAATAATGATTGTTAATAGAAATAATAATTGTGTCCTTCAAACTTTGCTTTCGTCAAAGAATCCTCCATTTGCAGCAATTACAGCCTTGCAGACCTTTGTCATTCTAGTTGTCAATTTGTTGAGGTAATCTGAAGAGATTTCACCCCATGCTTCCTGAAGCACCTCCCACAAGTTGGATTGGCTTGATGGGCACTTCTTACATACCATACGGTCAAGCTGCTCCCACAACAGCTCAATAGGGTTGAGATCCGGTGACTGTGCTGGCCACTCCATTATAGACAGAATACCAGCAGACTGCTTCTTCCCTAAATAGTTCTTGCATATATTGGAGCTGTGCTTTGGGTCATTGTCCTGTTGTAGGAGGAAATTGGCTGCAATCAAGCGCCGTCCACAGGGTATGGCATGGCATAGCAAAATGGAGTGATAGCCTTCCTTCTTCGAGATCCCTTTTACCCTGTACAAATCTCCCAATTTATCACCACCAAAGCACCCCCAGACCATCACATTGCCTCCACCATGCTTGACAGATGGCATCAAGCACTCATCCAGCATCTTTTCATTTGGTCTGTGTCTCACAAATGTTCTTCTTTGTGATCCGAACACCTCAAACTTCGATTCGTCTGTCCATAACACTTTTCCAATCTTCCTCTGTCCAGTGTTTGTGTTCATTTGCCCATCTTAATCTTTTCTATTTATTGGCCAGTCGGAGATATGGCTTTTTCTTTGCAACTCTGCCTAGAAGGTCAGCATCCCGGAGTCGCCTCTTCACTTTTGACATTGAGACTGGTGTTTTGCGGGTACTATTTAATGAAGCTGCCAGTTGAGGACCTGTGAGGCGTCTGTTTCTCAAACTAGACACTAATGTATTTGTTATCTTGCTCAGTTGTGCACCGGGGCCTCCCAATCCTCTTTCTATTCTGGTTAGAGCCAGTTTGCGCTGTTCTGTGAAGGGAGTAGTACACAGCGTTGTACGAGATCTTCAGTTTCTTGGCAATTTCTTGGATTGGAATAGCCTTCATTTCTCAGAACAAGAATAGACTGATGAGTTTCAGAAGAAAGTTCTTTGTTTCCGGCCATTTTGGGCCTGTAATCAAACCCACAATTGCTGATGCTCCAGATACTCAACTACTCTCAAGAAGGCCAGTTTTATTGCTTCTTTAATCAGCACAACAGTTTTCAGCTGTGCTAACATAATTGGAAAAGGGTTTTCTAATGATCAATTAGCCTTTTAAAATGATAAACTTGGATTAGCAAACACAACGTGCCATTGGAACACAGAACTGATGGTTGCTGATAATGGGCCTATGTAGATATTCCATAAAAAATCAGCCGTTTCCATCTACAATAGCCATTTACAACATTAACAATGTCTACACTGTATTTCTGATCAATTTGCTGTTATTTTAATGGACAAAAAAATTGCTTTTCTTTTGAAAACAAGGACAAGGGACCCCAAACTTTTGAATGGTAGTGTATATAAATAAGGTATTTCTGTTTATTAAATTTGTAAATGTTTTACCCCCTTTCCTCCCCAATTTGATGATATCCAATTGGTAGTTAGTCTTGTCTCATCGCTGCACCCCCCCCCTCCGATCACTGTTCACTCCCTCAGGAGGAATCCCTATTCAAAGTCATGTTCTCAGGCTGCGTCCCAAATGGTATTCTATTCCCTATATAGTGCACTACTTTTGACCAGGACCCTATATAGGGAATAGGGTGATTTGGGATGCATACATGTTCTCATTCTCCATACATTGAGGGTTGGGTTTTCTCCTGTCTTTGGGCTCAATCTATCTATCCTACATAGATGTCATCCAAGCTCGCTAAGAATTCCACCAAGAGGAGCCTTGATGAAAGATGACAATCTATCGTAGCATGTGGTAAACCAGCTCTCTCCTCAGCTGTTATATACTGTCCTGGAGACAGACTAACCCATTGAGCAGATGGCTCATGCTAATGGGATGTGTTCAACAGAATAAAGGGAGGCCTTATTCCCTGGACTGGTATAAAAACCTCAGGAGACAAAAGCTGTGCAGCTGTGTTTTGGTTTAGGCCTGTAGACTGCCTTCTCTCCTCTCCTCAGGTCTCCCAGCTGGCTCTGGTGTAGGACCTAGTACATTTGGTTTAGGTCTGTAGACTGCCTTCTCCCTCTCCTCAGGTCTCCTAGCTGGCTCTGGAGTAGGACCTAATACATTTGGTTTAGGCCTGTAGACTGCCTTCCCCTTCTTTCTCTCCGTCCTCTCTCTCTGTCACCCCCCCTTCTTTCTCTCTGTCCTCTCTCTCTCTCTGTCACCCCCCCTTCTTTCTCTCCGTCTTCTCTCTCTCTCTGTCACCCCCCCTTCTTTCTCTCCGTCCTCTCTCTCTCTCTCTCTCTCTGTCACCCCCCCTTCTTTCTCTCCGTCCTCTCTCTCTCTCTCCCTCTGTCACCCCCTCTTCTTTCTATCTGTCTTTCTCTCCGTCCTCTCTCTCTCTCGTTTGTATATCTGCCTTATAGTATAGCTTACAGTTTAAACCTCTAAGTGGATATAAACCACTAAAGCCAGTCCCTGTGTTTGTGTTGTGTAGAGAGCTGAAGCTGAGGAACTACACCCCAGAGGATGAAGAGCTGAAGGAGAGACAGGTGCCCAAGGCCAAACCTGCTTCAGGTGAGACGGGTGCCCGGGGGAGGGGGGACAGAGCGGGAGGGATGGAGATATGCCTAACGCCAAACCTGCTTCAGGTGAGACGGGTGCCCGGGGGAGTGGGGACAGAGCGGGAGGGATGGAGATATGCCTAACGCCAAACCTGCTTCAGGTGAGACGGGTGCCCGGGGGAGGGGGGACAGAGCGGGAGGGATGGAGATATGCCTAACGCCAAACCTGCTTCAGGTGAGACGGGTGCCCGGGGGAGGGGGGACAGAGCGGGAGGGATGGAGATATGCCTAACGCCAAACCTGCTTCAGGTGAGACATCTCAGTGATGAGGAGTTATCTCCAGAGAATAGCTTGGGGAAAGCACTGCTGTGGTGATGTTGAGTACATACAGTGCATTCGGAAAGCATTCAGACCCCTTGACTTTTTCCACATTTTGTTACGTTACAGCCTTATTCTAAAATGGATTAAAAAAAAAAAAAAATCTCATCAATCTACACACAATACCCAATAGTAAAAAAACAGAAATACCTTATTTACATAAGTATTCACACCCTTTGCTATGAGACTCGAAATTGAGCTCAGGTGCATCCTTTTTCCATTGATCATCCTTGAGATGTTTCTCCAACTTGATTGGAGTCCACCTGTGGTAAATGCAATTGATAGGACATGATTTGGAAAGGCACACACCTGTCTATATAAGGTCCCACAGTTGACAGTGCATGTCAGAGCAAAAACCAAGCCATGAGGTCAAAGGAATTGTCTGTAGACCTCCGAGACAGGATTGTGTCGAGGCACAGATCTGGGGAAGCGTACCAAAACATTTCTGCAGCATTGAAGGTCCCCAAGAACACAGTGGCCTCCATCATTGTTAAATGGAAGATGTTTGGAACCACCGAGACTCTTCATAGAGCTGGCCGCCCGACCAAACTGAGCAATCGGGGGAGAAGGGCCTTGGTCAGGGAAGTGACCAAGAACCCGATGGTCATTCTGACAGAGCTCCAGAGTTCCTCTGTGGAGATGGGAGAACCTTCCAGAAGGACAACCATCTCTACAGCACTCCACCAATCAGGCCTTAATCGTAGAGTGGCCAGACGGAAGCCGCTCCCCATCCAACCTGACAAAGCTTGAGAGGATCTGCAGAGAAGAATGGGAGCAACTCCCCAAATACAGGTGTGCCAAGCTTGTAGCGTCATACCCAAGAAGACTCAAGGCCGTAATTGCTGCCGAAGGTGCTTAAGCAAAGTACTGAGTAAAGGGTCTAAATACTTACGTAAATGTGATATTTACGTTTTTTGTTTTTTATACATTTGCAAAAATGTCTAAACCTGTTTTTGCTTCGTCGTCATTGGGTATTGTGTGTAGATTGAGGGAAATAAAACGATTTAATCAATTTTAGAATAAGGCTGTAACGTAACAAAATGTGTAAAAAGTCGAGGGGTCTGAATACACTATAACTATTACATGATGCAGCTGTACATAATGCATGCTTTGTGTTATTCCAGTCGAGGATAAAGTGAAGGACCAGCTAGAGGCAGCTAAACCAGAGTCTGTCATTGAAGAAGTGGTAAGTAGTGATCTTGACATAGTTAAAATATCCAAAGCCCTCTGTGATAAGTCAGTAGATAGCCTACTGTTTGATTAGTGTTCATGTTAAGTTTCCACCATTTAAATACATGTGATCATATTTCCTCCATAGGATTTGGCCAACCTAGCCCCCAGGAAACCTGACTGGTAAGACATTTTGACTAAGACGTTATACTTCATAGTATAACAAGTATAATACTTGGTTAATTTCCCTATACCTTGTTGTTGTGGTCTAATGTCCTGTTTCTGAATGAAGGGATTTGAAGAGAGACGTGGCGAAGAAGCTGGAGAAGCTTGAGAGGAGAACCCAGAAGGCCATCGCTGAACTTATCCGTGAGTATTTGTTATTGTATTCAATACAGTGAATGTGTGCTGGGACTATATATGGCTGGTCTGAACATGTAGCTACTGACTGTATCAGACTATATATGGCTGGTCTGAACATCTAGCCATATATAGTCTGATACAGTCAGTAGCTACATGTTCAGACCAGCCATATATAGTCTGATACAGTCAGTAGCTACATGTTCAGACCAGCCATATATAGTCTGATACAGTCAGTAGCTACATGTTCAGACCAGCCATATACTCTACAGTTCAAAAGTTTGGGGTCACATGTAGCTACTTACTGAATTAGACTAATTGCTCTGTGGATTCCAGAGTCCAGGGAGGCTTGACGCCACTTGATGACATCATTGATGTGATTCCTCCACTCCTCCTGGGATCTATATTCTCAGAATAGATATTGCTTTGGCCCACAAATTCCATCAGAAAGCACCAAGGGCTAGATTCAGTCTGGAGTGGCAATCTAAAATGGTTGATTCCAGGTGTTTATTGTGAAATGATAAACGCAGTAGGAGCTAAAGACAATGAAGTGTACGTAGTGACAGCAGCTTTGGCACTAGAGTTATTTTGCCTCTACCTCAATATTACCTCATTTGTGCTTTGTGCAAGCCCTGTTTCTAAAGTCTAGATTTGTGTGTGTCCAGGTGACCGTCTGAAAGGCAGTGAGGAGGAGCTGGCTGGAGCGGTGGGGGCCATAGGGGTGACAGCAGAGGGGGACTCGGACTGACCCCTTAATCCAGAGACACACGGCAATCCTGGATCTGACCCTACCAATGTGTCTGTTCCTGTTCTGTACAGCTGAATATTTGTTGTGGGAATCAGAGACAGTTGGTTTCAGTAGCTGTTGAAGCTACTGGGGAGTGAATATGCCAGTTAGATATGTCACCTTAATGACTTCTGAACTCTAGTCCTAGTATGCGTCACAAATGGCACCCTAGGGTGCCATTTGGGATGCAGACCCTGTGTGAAAGTCCGACCAGACTGTTTCAGTGTAGTGCTAGCTAGAGGATCATTGGGGACTGTTGTATTGTATAGAGCTGTTGTAAGGATCGTCTGCTGTTCATGCATCTTTATAATGATATTTTTCCAGTAAAATGATTTGGATTTTCCCAACGTTTTTGTGACTTGTGACCTTTTCCTTTGTCTGTGAATATTATGTACAGGAGACAACACAGAATGAGTACCCCACATCTTAAAATTCCAGATTTATTTGGAAAATCAGCTGAAAACTGATCCTTAACCAATCAGATTGTAAAGTAACCCTAATCCACTTGTATAATAAGTTACTGCAACAGGAAATGTTATTGCTACGCTATTCAATTAAAAGTTACTATTAACCCAACAGTTGACCGTCAGGTTCAACTAAGATGGAAAACAGATTACAATGAACAAAGCCATTTTTGGTATGATGATATTTCACTAATTATACATCTAAAGCACCTAAATTGATCTGAAAGCGCAAAAAACTTATTTATTTCACAAAGTGCTTCCCACCAGTCCCCCAAACAGACCAACATTTCCCTATCAAAGGAGGCTACAGATGTAGGATCTTAATTTGAGCCAGGTTGCTACAGCAGGAAAATAATGTGTTATTATATAGAAGATATAGCTTGATTATTAATACTTCAAGAATAGAACAGCACAAATGTGTCTACTGTGGCACTCCTCTCTTGGCGAACATATTTGATTATGAAGCAGCATCTCTAAGCATTGTGATGGTGGAAATCGCATTCAGGGCCTGCATTCACAAAATGTCTGAGTAGAAGTGCTGATCTAGGATCAGTTTTGCCTCTCAGGTCATAATGAATAAGATTACATTACAGGGAATACCTGATCCTAGACCAGCACTCCTATTCTGAGATGCTTGGAACATACAACCCCTGATGAAGAACTTCTGGCGATTCAGTCAAAGGAAACAGCATTTGTTGTTTAGTTGTGGTTCTAGTAGGAAGTTTCAAAGGTTGTCTTGGCACTCGGGTTAGTGTGTTGTTGTTGATGATGTCATACTGGTTGGTGCATCATGCAGATGAGCTGATAGATAAGGGCCATTTCTAAACAGCAGCAGACAGGAGACCGTAGAGCCTTATCTAAACAGCAGCAGACAGGAGAGAGTAGAGCCTTATCTAAACAGCAGCAGACAGGAGAGAGTAGAGCCTTCTTATCCCTGACTCTTATCTGTTATCCTGATGACGTTGTCACGGAAACCTCAAGTTATAGCCCTTCTTTATCAGGATAGTTTTAGACAGCTGGGGTCTGTTCAAGAGGATGTAACGTTACAGCTGGGGTCTGTTCAGGAGGGTGTAACGTTACAGCTGGGGTCTGTTCAGGAGGGTGTAACGTTACAGCTGGGTTCTGTTCAGGAGGGTGTAACGTTACAGCTGGGGTCTGTTCAGGAGGGTGTAACGTTACAGCTGGGGTCTGTTCAGGAGGATGTAAAGTTACAGAACGTTCAACAGACGTGACATCAGTGGAGGCTGCTGAGGGGAGAACGGCTCATAATAATGGCCGGAACGTAGCAAATGGAATGGCGTCCAACACCTGGAAACCATGTGTTTGATGTATTTGATACAATTCTACTAATTCCGCTCCAGCCATTACCATGAGCCTGTCCTTCCCAATTAAGGTGCCACCAACCTCCTGTGCATGACATGAACATACATTATGATCAGTAGACTAGAGAATCTGCAATATTCTCTATTTCATCTCAATGAATACACACCTGGTAGCTTTTATACTGATAGACTGGCTGACTGATAGACAGACTGATAGATTGACTGACTGGCTGACTGATAGACAGGCTGACTGATAGACAGGCTGACTGATAGACTGAGACTGGCTGACTGATAGACAGACTGATAGATTGACTGACTGGCGAGAGCAGTTGCTTGTTGTTGTTATTGCTTGTTGATGTATTTGGTTGGCTGTGTGTCTGTTGAGTCCCTGTAGTCCTCATTGTCCATGGGAACAGGAAGTTGGATGATTTCAGGGAGTGGAGTTCTAGTCACACTGATGGCTTCCCCCTCCTCTCTGTATCTTCCTGGCTGCAGGCCCCAGCTCCACCTTACAAACCCTCTCAGCAAACTTCAGAGAACACATGGTCTCTCCCACATTACTCTCCAGAGCAGACACCTGGAGGAGGACCAGAGGATCAGATAGAAGACACTTCCAGACAAACATGACAGTGTAATCAGTGTGTTTGATGTACTGTACTCTATGCTGTGTATACCTGGCTGCACCACCATAGCCTAGTTGTCTTGTAATGTGTAGGCTAAACACAGTATGGACTTCTCCATTCAGAATGCTTTATAGTCCAGGATCAGGCTTAATGTCCGGGAAGCCAGCCCTATGAGTGTACATATAGATGGATATACAGACATTATAATCTGTGTGTATCAGATGTACTGTTGTGTGTGTCCCTACCTGCACTACCATGGCCGTCTTGTTGCCCTTGCCCAGTGAGTCCTGCAGCAGGTATGTGAGGCGACTGTTTCTGAAGGGGATGTGTTTCTCCTTCCCCCTCAGAGCCTGGATGACGTCCCCCAGAGCCAGCAGGGAGCGGTTGATGTTCTGGGCCTCCTTCAGCCTCTCTCCCTCAGCTCCTGACTTCCAGACCCTCTCAGAGCCAGCCAAGTCTACCAGGTTCAACTTGCCTGCAGATGTCACAAAAACATCGCCCGTGCGTCGTTAACGGAACATTTTCTGGTCCCTTGAATCGTGTCAATATCTGGAACCGACCCACTTGCCAAATGAGTTGCGCATCCCGGACAAAACACACCTTGAAAAGTAGCGGGTGTCGATGAGCAGTTGCGATTCCGCACGTAGAATCGCCGGGAAATTAACAGAAAATGACAGCTGCTGTTCTGGTAAGAGGCGATAGGGCTGCCACCTGCTGCTTATAACAGTTAGTTGTGACTGTGTCCAGTCTCTAAGGTGTGTGTTACGTACCTGTGATCTTGGCCCCGCTGGCCAGGTCAGTCCCCAGCACAGTGATCATGAGAAGGGCATGGGAACGAGAGCTGTGCTGGTTCATCTGGGTCCCGAAGGTGATTCTGTTACGACGCGCCTGCGCCAGAAGCTGCACAGGAACAGTGACAGAGTTCATGAAAATGTGGTGTGGAATTTTAGGAAACTTGCACTTGGCATACTTTCATATGATGGTATACATTACAGTAAATTAACCATTAGGGTTCTAATGGAGATATATGGCTCAGTTGGTAGAGCATAGCGCTTGCAACGCCAGGATTTTGGGTTCTATTCCCTGGGCCACCTATACAACAAATGTATGCCGGATGACTGTAAATTGCTTTGGATAAAAGCGTCTATTAAATGGCATATACAGTATATTCAATTATTATTAAGGTCAAGGCGAAAAGTCAAGGAAAATATATATTAATATAGTTGGAGAAATCAGTCTCACTGAAAAAAGTGTACGGTAACTCCCGAGTGGCGCAGTGGTCTAAGGCACTGCATCGCAGTGCTAGCTGTGCCACTAGAGATCCTGGTTCGAATCCAGGCTCTGTAGACCAATGGGGCGGCGCACAATTGGCCCAGCGTTGTCCAGGGTAGGGGAGGGAATGGCCGGCAGGGAGGTAGCTCAGTTGGTAGAGCATGGCGTTTGCAACGCCAGGGTTGTGGGTTCGATTCCCACGGGGGCCAGTATGAAGAAAAAAAAGAATAATGTATGCACTAACTAAGTCGCTCTGGATAAGAGCGTCTGCTAAATGACGTAAATGTAACTTTCCCAGCATTCTGAGGTTTTCCAGAAATCATGGTTGGAAGATTCCACCAATCAGCAGGAAATCCCTGGAATTTTGGGAAAGTTACCAGGACTTTGAAAGTTACCAAGACTTTCACCCTAAGAAAAATGTATGTGAGTCTCCTCACTTTCTTGATGTGTTGGAAGCTCTTGACCTCGATGACCCTGAGTCCAGGGACGTGCAGCTGTCCTGTCCCGTCTGGGTTGATCTTAATATCCAGCTTCTCTCCATCCTTACTCAGCAGGTCTCTGGGGACAGAACAGGAACAGGTTAGTCAGATTCAGAGTTAGAAAGTAGCTCTATTCTCAGTTTATCTCTAATCCTAACTTAAAGCACTTTTCATATATTTAACTCCTAGACCTTGTTTATTACTATAAAACAATATAGTAGCACTAATAAAAAACAGAAGATTTGAATAATGAATAATAAAACATATCACCACTTCTAAACGCTGGATATTTTTCTGCCAGCCATTGAGAGGGAAGGTACCTGAGCACCTCGTTGTAGATCTCCACAGAGCTGACACTCACGGTGTACGTCCACATGTCCTTCCTGTCCTCTATCTCACTGAACAGGTGTTTCAGAGCACGCTGATTGATGCCTGGGTTCTCTGTGCTGCCCTGACAACAACAAATTATGGAGATTTTGATACAATGAGTAATTTTTTATCAAATATTCAGCCTTCTTTCTCATTACAATCTGTGGTAACACTTTATATGAAGGCTTAGGACTTAAGAACACATGTATAAACCATACATTACATTACGCAGTGCTACAACATACCTCCATGGTGTAGGTCTTCCCAGAGCCAGTCTGCCCGTAGGCAAAGATGCAGACGTGATATCCATCTATACAGGATGTCACAAGGGGCTCGATCTCCTGGAAGACCTTAGACACAATAGAAAGCCAAAGGTTAGCAAGTGTGTATCGTTCACAGTCACTGCTGTTTTTGAGTCACACCACAGAAACTGGAATACCATCATGGCGTCCACTCATTTAAATAGATAGAGAAGTGACAGCACTGTGTCTCGTAATGGAGGCGGAGTTTCTCAGTACCTCTTCCTGAGTGGCCTGAGGGTGGAAGACACGGTCCAGTTCAAAGTTGTGGCTGCGGCCCTGCCCTTTCAGCACGGAGAGAGCTGATTCGTTATTGGGGTCAGTAGTTACCACCACCGATTGGCCCTCCTCATGCTGGTCCTCCTTCAGAACCGGCTTCACACGGCACAGCACACGGATGTTGCCTAGCAACAATGACAGTTTATTTAATAATGATACAACCTCATATATAATGTTTTTTCCCCCAATAGAATAAATAGGCTTCCTCCTCCAGTCTTCTTTCCTTCATCCGGACTTTGTTTCACCGTACCTTTGAGCTCGACCAGCTGCTCGTGGTACTTCCTCCGCAGTGCCACCTCCTTCCTGTACTTCTCCAGGAGGTCCTTGTTGGCCTCCGACATCTCACTCATAGTGGCTGATATCTACACAGACAGACCATAGGAAAACGGTAAATACATACCACACCTTTTGAGCTTGGCCTTTAATCAGTGTTCTATCTTTACTGTTACTTTAAACATCATTTTTTCTTCCATGTTCTTTTATTCATCTCTTTTATTGCCTTCTGTTTTTTTTTAATCTCCTTCATTTTATTGATTTACTGTTTTGTGGTTTTAAACGCGCTTTAAATAAAGTTTGATTTGATTTGACTTTAAACAATGCTTGTTAATCCAGCAGCAGTGTTTTGTGGGACCTGTTTCTTGGCATCGGTGATGGCTGCTCCGTAGAAGTCGGAGAAGTTGCGGACCTGGCTCCTCAGGCTGGCGTAGTCTGTCTTCATGGTGCGCAGGGTCGGAGGGAGCGCTGTCAGACGCTTCTGCAGGTCTGCCATAGGACACACACACACAGAGAGAGAGACTGTCACAGCTTGCTCAATGGTGATGAGCATGAAACACAATATTCTATGAATCAACCGCACCCAGATTCGACAAGCCCATCATAGCATATACAGTGGGGAGAACAAGTATTTGATAACCTGCAAAATCGGCAGTGTTTCCTACTTACAAAGCATGTAGAGGTCTGTAATTTTTATCATAGGTACACTTCAACTGTGAGAGACGGAATCTAAAACAAAAATCCAGAAAATCACATTGTATGATTTTTAAGTAATTAATTTGCATTTCATTGCATGACATAAGTATTTGATACATCATATTTTCTGAAGAGCTCTGCTTCTTGCCAGGCGAGAAGGCTTCCATGAACCCCTCCTGGTATAACAATTAAAGCGCAACTGAAGGCAATAAACAACTTATTTGATACAAAATGTCCTATGTGGCATCGATAGTAGAAAGATTCTAGTGTCAAAATCTACTCAAGTGTAAATAGGATAATTTTTGTCAAAGTCAGCCTTGTACAAAACTGAGTTTTGTAAGTGAGTTCATCATGACTTGAGGGTTTGGTTTTGATTTCGACAATGCTAAAACAAAAATCCAGAAAATCACATTGTATGATTTTTAAGTAATTAATTTGCATTTTATTGCGTGACATAAGTATTTGATACATCAGAAAAGCAGAACTTAATATTTGGTACAGAAACCTTTGTTTGCAATTACAGAGATCATATGTTTCCTGTAGGTCTTGACCAGGTTTGCACACACTGCAGCAGGGATTTTGGCCCACTCCTCCATACAGACCTTCTCCAGATCCTTCAGGTTTCGGGGCTGTCGCTGGGCAATACGGACTTTCAGCTCCCTCCAAAGATTTTCTATTTATTCAGGTCTGGAGACTGGCTAGGCCACTCCAGGACCTTGAGATGCTTCTTACGGAGCCACTCCTTAGTTGCCCTGGCTGTGTGTTTCGGGTCGTTGTCATGCTGGAAGACCCAGCCACGACCCATCTTCAATGCTCTTACTGAGGGAAGGAGGTTGTTGGCCAAGATCTCGCGATACATGGCCCCATCTATCCTCCCCTCAATACGGTGCAGTTGTCCTGTCCCCTTTGCAGAAAAGCATCCCCAAAGAATGATGTTTCCACCTCCATGCTTCATGGTTGGGATGGTGTTCTTGGGGTTGTACCCATCCTTCTTCTTCCTCCAAACACGGTGAGTGGGGTTTAGACCAAAAAGCTCTATTTTTGTCTCATCAGACCACATGACCTTCTCCCATTCCTCCTCTGGATCATCCAGATGGTCATTGGCAAACTTCAGACGGGCCTGGACATGCGCTGGCTTGAGCAGGGGGACCTTGCGTGCGCTGCAGGATTTTAATCCATGACGGCGTAGTGTGTTACTAATGGTTTTCTTTGAGACTGTGGTCCCAGCTCTCTTCAGGTCATTGACCAGGTCCTACCGTGTAGTTCTGGGCTGATCCCTCACCTTCCTCATGATCATTGATGCCCCACGAGGTGAGATCTTGCATGGAGCCCCAGACCGAGGGTGATTGACCGTCATCTTGAACTTCTTCCATTTTCTAATAATTGCGCCAACAGTTGTTGCCTTCTCACCAAGTTGCTTGCCTATTGTCCTGTAGCCCATCCCAGCCTTGTGCAGGTCTACAATTTTATCCCTGATGTCCTTACACAGCTCTCTGGTCTTGGCCATTGTGGAGAGGTTGGAGTCTGTTTGATTGAGTGTGTGGACAGGTGTCTTTTATACAGGTAACGAGTTCAAACAGGTGCAGTTAATACAGGTAATGAGTAGAGAACAGAAGGGCTTCTTAAAGAAAAACTAACAGGTCTGTGAGAGCCGGAATTCTTACTGGTTGGTAGGTGATCAAATACTTATGTCATGCAATAAAATGCAAATTAATTACTTAAAAATCATACAATGTGATCTTCTGGATTTTTGTTTTAGATTCCGTCTCTCACAGTTGAAGTGTACCTATGATAAAAATTACAGACCTCTACATGCTTTGTAAGTAGGAAAACCTGCAAAATCGGCAGTGTATCAAATACTTGTTCTCCCCACTGTATGTGTAGCACAGCCTGTAGAAGCTTCTGAAGGTTGTATTAGATGGGACTCACTAAAGAACTGGTCCTGCAGGCTCTGGAAGTGTTCTACGGAGCAGGTCGCTGCAGCCTTCACAGCCTCCTCCTTCTTCTCCTCCAGGTGACCTATCTCCTTCAGCAGCTCCTCCTGCAGTACACTGATCTCCCGCTCGTACGCTGCAATCTGGGAGAGGCAGTCACATTCACATTTTCACATTCAGCATATGATGATGAGGTTCATGAATTGTATGCATCCCAACCTATTCCCTATTTAGTGTACTACTTTAGACCAGGGCCCATTGGGCTCTGGCCAACATGGGCCCTGGTCTAAAGTAGTACGTGATATATGGAATAGGGTGCCATATGGGATGCAGACAATAGCTTGGTAGGAATGGAGGTTAGTATAATACTCTTTAGTTTCTTCATTTGTTAATAATTGAACTGTTAAATCTCATCATCGTGAACTTTGAAGTAGAATACAGTTTTCTCAGGAATGTAATATTTCTTCATGAATATTTCACGCAACATATTCACCTTTTTCTGAGGACATTCAAACCAATACAGTGACTTTTCATTGGTTCTCACCTGGTGTCGCAGGTGACCTTTCATTGGTTCTCACCTTGTGTTGCAGGTGACTTTTCATTGGTTCTCACCTTGTGTTGCAGGTGACTTTTCATTGGTTCTCACCTTGTGTTGCAGGTGACTTTTCATTGGTTCTCACCTTGTGTTGCAGGTTACAGCTGAATTCATCTGACTTCCTGATGTGCTCCTCAAGTTGTCTGCACTTCTCGTTCTGATTGGTCAGTTTCTCTGACAGCTGCTCGTTCCTCTCTGTGGCCTCAGCCAATTGCCTCAGCGTCACCGGTGACTCCACCTCCACAGTTTGAGTGACAATCTGGCAGGGAAAATACCAATGAAGGTTACAACTTCATTTAATATAAATCAATTTATTCAACAAGACCGGTTTCTGATTCCAAACAATCAGAAACCTGTTATCAGCTTCATTTGAATGAAAACGTATTGTATATACAGTAAGGTGTCTCTTGCAGACTATCCCTACCTTGACCTGTGGCTCTTTGGCCCTCTCTTTATCCAGGTCTAGCTGCAGCTCCCTCACTCTCTCCTCTTTTCTCCTCTGCTCCTCTCCTCTCCTCCACTCGCTTTGTTCGCTCTGTCTCTCCAGGCAAGACAGCTGATCAGCCTGCTGCTGCAGGGAACTCTCCAGCTGCTGCACCCGGCTGCGCAGGTTCTCATTCTCCTACAGGGGGAGACACAGAGCACCGTTAGAGTGAACATTCTCCTAAAGGGGGAGACAGAGCACCATTAGAGAGAACATTCTCCTACAGGGTTAGACACAGAGCACGACCAAATTCCCATAGAAATGTCAGTTTTAGATCTGTCATTCTCATTGAAAGCAAGTCTAAGAAGCGGTAGATCTGTTTGTTCTATGTGCGCTATTTCTATGCTTCCCGTTCTTAAGTTTAATTTTAGCATTTTTCACTTTTGGTTTTGTACACCAGCTTCAAACAGCTGAAAATGCAATATTTTTTGGTTATGGAAAAGATACTTCACAGCGGTTTAGATGGTACAATGATTCTCTACACTATACCTGCTTGTTTTGTCACATAAACTGAAATTAGGCGAACAATTAGAATGTTAGCAACCAGGAAATGACAGAGCGATTTCTAAAGACACCATTAGCAAATCAAAACACAGAATCATTTGTGGTTTTGGCCGATATAGTGGGACAGCTCCTCGTCTGTTAGTGATGAGCTCACAGACAGACAGCAGTGCTTCTGGGGCTGCGTCCCAAATAGCACCCTTTCCCCTATTTAGTGTACTACTGTTGACCATAGCCCTATGGGTCCTGGTGAAAAGTATATATCTATATATACTGTATAGGGAATAGGGTGTCGTTTGGGACTCAGCCTGACTCTCACCTTGATGAGTACAGAGCTGGACTGGGAGGGGATGACAGAGAGCTGCTGCAGGAGGCCCTGGGTGACAGTCAGACTCTGTTTCAGACTCTCGTTCTCTGCTGACAGACACACAACCCGCTTCTCCGAGTCTGTGGCTCCCTGAAGAGGAACAAAATGGATTACAGTAAGCACTAAAGCATGATGAAAAAGTTATATCATACTAAAGCATGATGGATATGTTCTACCTGTCAATACTGGTCCCACAATATTGCCTGCTTGTTGCCTTACCAGTATGATTTCCCTATAGGTTTAAAAACAAGCCATTGAAATATACCTCAATGCTGACACACCATAAGGATTTTCACACTACACCATTTTGTCTCAGACTACAGCAGCAGTGTTAAAATGCCTTGTGGCAGCTTTACTGATAACAAATGGAGCAGATTCTCATGAAAGCTTACAGAGTCAGTTCTTAGTCTGGACAGCTCCTCCTCCCGCTCCTCGATGCAGCTCTTCAGCTCGTCAATCTGGGGAGGAAACAGGGAAAGTCTGTAGTCTGTAGTCTTGTACAAGAAGCTTAAAGTGACGAAGACGGGGAGAAAAAGGACAGAAAAAGTGACCACAATAACAGGAGAGTAGGTTTTTGTTAATTGATTGCAAAGTGTGCAGGTATTGTCATGATATTTAAAAAATAATATTACTTATAAGTTACTCATGGCACGCTAACTTCAATAATCTCCAAACTGCACGCAGAAACATAAAAATTGTATTCATGAGTTCATCTGACTGGGGGAGTAGAAAAATGACCTAATTCTCTAAATCTCTCAGCGTCCCTTTAAACATGAATACCCCATAACAGGGTTGGGGCCAATTTCAATTAAATGAATTAAAGATATTAAAGGGATAGTTAACTTTTTTACATCTTATAGTCAGATGGCTAGCAAAACAACTATGGGGGTGATGGGGGCAATTAGACAAAGTTCAGTGTTTGTGGTCGAATCCCCTCAAGTTAGTAGTGGCTATTTAAACCACTCTGAACCATGGAATACAGTTTCTCCTGGCCCATAGACTACTTTCAGGGTAAGGAACCATCTGAATGACTATAAGGTGTAAAAAAGTTAACTATCCCTTGAATTAATTTACAAATCAATCATTGCAAATAGGGCATTAATGGTCAAGGATTTCTTATTAAACTGAATCTGATTGTATTTATGAGCCCAAACTCAACCCCTAACTGTTCTATGTGTTCGTTATCTTCTAGTCGTTGCTCTCCCTCCACAGACACTGTCATGAAGCGCTTCCCAAGGTGCAACAAAGACACTGTCATGAAGCGCTTCCCAAGGTGCAACAAAGGGACCGTCTTAAAACAGTCAAATGGCTGGATTGAGAAGAAGAAAAAATAACAGGAATTAAATGACATATTTATTTATTTATTTTTTGTTGTTTGGTTTATTACCATGACTACAAGTATCACTGAAATAATGCTCCCGTAACATATACGTTAACACATATTGTTAAGATGTATTGTGACATATAAAGGGACATATATGTAATAAACATTTGAATACTAAATGTGTCACACATGAGCACATACAGTACCAGTCAAAAGTTTGGATACACCTACTCATTCAAGGCTTTTCTTTATTTTTGAATAATAGTGAAGACATCAAAAATATGAAATAACACATATGGAATCAGGTAGTAACCAAAAAAGTGTTAAACAAATCAAATATATTTGATATTCTTCAAAGTAGCCACCCTTTGCCTTGATGACAGCTTTGCACACTCTTGGCATTCTCTCAACCAGCTTCACCTGGAATGCTTTTCCAACAGTCTTGAAGGAGTTCCCACATATGCTGAGCACTTGTTGGCTGGTTTTCCTTCACTCTGCCGTCCAACTCATCCTAAACCATCTCAATTGGGTTGAGGTCGGGTGATTGTGGAGGCCAGGTCAACTGATGCAGCACTCCATCACTCTCCTTCTTGGTCAAATAGCCCTTACATAGCCTGGAGGTGTGTTGGGTCATTGTCCTGTTGAAAAACAAATGATAGTCCCACTAAGCGCAAACGAGATGGGATGGCGTATCGCTGTGGTAGCCATGCTAAATAATTTAATTCTAAATAATCACAGACAGTGTCACCAGCAAAGCACCATCACACCTCCTCCTCCATGCTTCACGGTGGGAATCAAACATGCAGCGATCATCCGTTCACCTACTCTGCGTCTCACAAAGACACGGCGGTTGGAACCAAAAATCTCAAATTTTGACTCATCAGACCAAAGGACAGATTTCCACCCGTCTAATGTGCATTGCTCGTGTTTCTTGGCCCAAGCAGGTCTCTTCTTCTTATTGGTGTCCTTTAGTAGTGGTTTCTTTACAGCAATTACACCATGAAGGCCTGATTCAAGCAGTCTCCTCTGAACAGTTGATGTTGAGATGTGTCTGTTACTTGGCTGGTAACTCGAATGAACTTATCCTCTGCAGCAGAGGTAACTTTGGGTCTTACTTTCCTGTGGTGGTCCTCATGAGAGCCAGTTTCATCATATCGCTTAATGGTTATTGCGATTGCACTTGAAGAAACTTTCAAAGTTCTTGAAATTTTCCGGATTGACTGACCTTCATGTCTTGAAGTAATGATGGACTGTTGTTTCTCTTTGCTTATTTGAGCTGTTCTTGCCATAATATGGACTTGGTCTTTTACCAAATAGGGCTATCTTCTGTATACCAACCCTATCTTGTCACAACACAACTGATTGGCTCAAAGGCATTAAGAAGGAAGGAAATTCCACAAATTAACTTTTAACAAGGCACACCTGTTAATTGAAATACATTCCAGGTGACTACCTCATAAAGCTGGTTAAGAGATTGCCAAGAGTGTGCCAAGCTGTCATCAAGTCAAAGGGTGGCTATTTGAAGAATCTCAAATATAAAATATATTTTGATTTGTTTAACACTTTTTTAGTTACTACATGATTCCATATGTGTTATTTCATAGTTTTGATGTCTTCACTATTATTCTACAATGTAGAAAACAGTAAAAATAAAGAAAAACCCTTGAATGAGTAGGTGTGTCCAAACTTTTGACTGGTACTGTATATTGCCATATATTAGTTTTCCGTATGGGGTGCTGGGTGTTTGTCTGTAAGTATGCATCCATGTAGCTTTCTCTCTCTCTCTTTTTCTCTCTCTCTCTTTTTCTCTCTCTCTCGTTCTCTCTCCCTCCCTCTCTCTCTCTCTCAATCTCTCTCTCTCTCTCTCTCTCTCTCTCTCTCTCTCTCTCTCTCTCTCTCTCTCTCTCTCTCTCTCTCTCTCTCTGTGTGCGTGCGTGCGTGCGTGTGTGATGTGTGTGCATGCGTACGTGCATGTGTGTGTGAGTCCGTGCTTGCATGCATATATGTGTGTGTGTGTGCTTACATTCGTGTGTGCGTATGCATGTGTGATGTACTGTACCTGCTGTTGGAAGACCTGTACTCGTGAGTGTCGGTCCTGTTCTCTCTGCTCCAGTTGGGAGTGCAGCAGCCGTAGTTCTCCCCTCAGCTGGCTCTTCTCTCCCTGTAGTCCATACAGAGACTCTACCAGCCTGTGGAGCCCTGCCCCAGCCCCAGCCCCAGCCCCGGCCCCAGGGACATCAGCACCACACTCACCTAAAGGCAGACAATACTCTAGGATTAGGATAGACATCTTCATCATTATACTCATTATCATCAGCAGCAGTATTATTATCATCATGATCATCTTCATCATCTTCATCACCATCATCATCACCATCATCACCAGCATCAGCATCACCACCATCATCCTCATCACCATCATCATCATCACTATCACCACTAGCATCATCATCATCATCATCATCATCACTACTATCATCACTATCAACAACATCAACACAATCATCATCAACATCAATATCATCACTATCATCATCAAGATCACCACTATCACCACTATCATCATCACTGCTATCACCACTATCATTACTATCACCACTATCATCACTATCACCAATATCATCATCACCACTATCATTACTATCACCACTATCATCATCACCACTATCATTACTATCACCACTATCATCATCACCACTATCATCATCACCACTAGCATTACTATCACCACTATCATCATCACCACTATCATCATCACCATCACCATTATCATCATCACCACTATCACCACTATCATCATCGCCACTATCACCACTATCATCATCACCACTATCATTACTATCGCCACTATCACCACTATCATCATCGCCACTAGCATTACTATCACCACTATCATCATCGGCACTATCACCACTATCACCATCACCACTATCACCTCTATCATCATCACCACTATCACCATCACCACTATCATCATCACCACTATCATTACTATCACCACTATCATCATCACCACTATCACCACTATCATCATCACCACTATCATTACTATCACCACTATCATCATCAACACTATCAACACTATCATCATCACCACTATCACCACTATCATCATCACCACTATCATCATCACCAATATCACCACTATCATCATCGCCACTATCACCGCTATCATTAATATCACTACTATCATCATCACCACTATCACTAGTATCATCATCACCACTATCACCACTATCATCATCACCACTATCACCACTATCATCATCAAGTAGAAATTCAATATATCAACATCACTATTACCTGACCTCTTTCTAAATATATCCAGGAAAGATTGGATACATACTCTGTACCATGGTATGTGTAAGTGTTGCAATATTAATGAAACTCATTGTGCACTTAAAACACAGTATAGTAATCACACACACGATGTACACATACATGGTAGTCAAACAGTAGTCATAGTAGTCTAGTAGTACTCATACAGTAGTCAAACAGTAGTCACACCACAGTCACACAGTAGTCACACAGTAGTCATTGTAGTCGCATAGTGGTCACACAATAGTCACATAGCAGTCACATATCAGCCGCACAGTAGTCACATAGTAGTCACATAGCAGTCACATAGCAGTCAAATAGTAGTCACACAGTAGTCACATAGTGGTCACACAGTAGTCACACAGTATTCACATAGCAGTCACACAGGAGTTACACAGTAGTCACATAGTGGTCACATAGCAGTCAAATAGTAGTCACATACAGTGGGGAGAACAAGTATTTGATACACTGCCGATTTTGCAGGTTTTCCTACTTACAAAGCATGTAGAGATCTGTAATTTTTATAATATGTACACTTCAACTGCGAGAGACGGAATCTAAAACAAAAATCCAGAAAATCACATTGTATGATTTTAAAGTAATTAATTTGCATTTTATTGCATGACATAAGTATTTGATACATCAGAAAAGCAGAACTTAATATTTGGTACAGAAACCTTTGTTTGCAATTACAGAGATCATACGTTTCCTGTAGGTCTTGACCAGGTTTGCACACACTGCAGCAGGGATTTTGGCCCACCCCTCCATACAGACCTTCTCCAGATCCTTCAGGTTTCAGGGCTGTCGCTGGGCAATACGGACTATCAGCTCCCTCCAAAGATGTTCTATTGGGTTCAGGTCTGGAGACTGGCTAGGCCACTCCAGGACCTTGAGATGCTTCTTACGGAGCTACTCCTTAGTTGCCCTAGCTGTGTGTTTCGGGTCGTTGTCATGCTGGAAGACCCAGCCACGACCCATCTTCAATGCTCTTACTGAGGGAAGGAGATTGTTGGCCAAGATCTCGCGATACATGGCCCCATCCATCCTCCCCTCAATACGGTGCAGTCGTCCTGTCCCCTTTGCAGAAAAGCATCCCCAAATAATGATGTTTCCACCTCCATGCTTCACGGTTGGGATGGTGTTCTTGGGGTTGTACTCATCCTTCTTCTTCCTCCAAACACGGCGAGTGGAGTTTAGACCAAAAAGCTCTATTTTTGTCTCATCAGACCACATGACCTTCTCCCATTCCTCATCTGGATCATCCAGATGGTCATTGGCAAACTTCAGACGGGCCTGGACATGCGCTGGCTTGAGCAGGGGGACCTTGCGTGCGCTGCAGGATTTTAATCCATGACGGCGTAGTGTGTTACTAATGGTTTTCTTTGAGACTGTGGTCCCAGCTCTCTTCAGGTCATTGACCAGGTCCTGCCGTGTAGTTCTGGGCTGATCCCTCACCTTCCTCATGATCATTGATGCCCCACGAGGTGAGATCTTGCATGGAGCCCCAGACCGAGGGTGATTGACCATCATCTTGAACTTCTTCTATTTTCTAATAATTGCGCCAACAGTTGTTGCCTTCTCACCAAGCTGCTTGACTATTGTCCTGTAGCCCATCCCAGCCTTGTGCAGGTCTACAATTTTATCCCTGATGTCCTTACACAGCTCTCTGGTCTTGGCCATTGTGGAGAGGTTGGAGTCTGTTTGATTGAGTGTGTGGACAGGTGTCTTTTATACAGGTAACAAGTTAAAACAGGTGCAGTTAATACAGGTAATGAGTGGAGAACAGGAGGGCTTTTTAAGGAAAAACTAACAGGTCTGTGAGAGCCGGAATTCTTACTGGTTGGTAGGTGATCAAATACTTATGTCATGCAATAAAATGCAAATTAATTACTTAAAAATCATACAATGTGATTTTTTAGATTTTTGTTTTAGATTCCGTCTATCACAGTTGAAGTGTACGTATGATAAATATTACAGACCTCTACATGCTTTGTAAGTAGGAAAACCTGCAAAATCGGCAGTGTATCAAATACTTGTTCTCCCCACTGTATCAGTCACACGGTAGTCACATGGTAGTCTCTGTCAGTCACATGGTAGTCACATTGTAGTCACACAGTAGCCACATTGTAGTCACACAGTAATCACATAGTAGTCACACAGTAGTCACACAGTAGTTATATGGTAGCCACACAGTAGTCACATGGTAGTCGCACAGTAGTCACACAGTAGTCACATAATCGCAAGCCATAATGTCAGTCCCCAGAGACTAGTATAGTCACCCACATCCTGTCTCCATCCCAATTAGAACCCTATTACCTACATAGAGCCCATCGGGCTCTGGTCAAAAGTAGTGCACTATAGAGGGAATAGGGTGCCATTTGGGACGTAGCCAGTATATTCAAGGGCACATTATTGCTATATTGTCCCCATTCCATCATGTACCTACAGCTTACTACCCTAAAAGTTAGTATGGGATAATGTCAGCCACTCACGTACGGCCTGCCTGTCTCTACCTACCATCTAATGCACAAAGTGAAGGTGCATGGTCCACACTCACAAGCACTGACTTCCTGCCTTTAGTTTAAAACCTTTATAAAGTTCAGGCAAAGCAAGTGAGACCAGTTCTGCGTCCCAGATGGCACCCTATCCTCTTTCTAGTGCACTACTTTTGACCAACGCTACAGTGCTTTTGGGCCCCGGTCAAAGGTAGTGCACTAGAAAGGGAATAGGGTGCCATTTGGGACGTAGCCTCTCAGAACATCGTGCCCAGTAGCTTTTTAATCAATTTCCTCCTGCTGCATGATTTATGGTGTTCTGTCTCTGCCAGGACTGTTTCTGTTTCTCTTTGCTGAACTCTACACTAATCAACCAGGCAGCCTCTGTCAGCTCTGCTGTGCTGTGTCACTGTTTTAGGAGATGGGGAGAGGTGGTGATTGGAGGGAGACAGGGCAGGGGGATGAGGGGGGGGGGGTCTACATAGCCAGAGGAGATGCTGGATGTTTAACTCAAGGGCAGATGCAGACACGTGATCCTGGGAAAACGTGATGTGGTGAATATGGGCTTTAATGCTTTACACTCGGGTGGAAGTAATGGCATCACCCTGCTAGTTAGACCTGTATTTTACCTCACATGCTAAATGAAGTTTGGGTAAATGTTAATGTCTCAAAGAGCAGTCTATTTAACATTGTCTAACTAGAATAAAGCAACATTATCACAGGGAGTGTTTAAACACTGTGTTGTACACTAGCTTGATGATAAACAAGTGCATACAACTAATGATATGAGAAATGTGGAAGGTGTTTCAGCTTTGCACAACATGCACATTTACAACATTATAGAGAGTATTTGGGTATGAATGACTGGTGATTTAGGAGAATCCCCAACTCACACACTTTGTAGATCATCATCAAAACACATCAGGTTAGAAGTGGTAGAACACTGTCTTCAAAACCAACACCAAAGCAGGAGAACAGCACAACACACTACAGTAGCTGCTGTTGACATCACCTCAGAGAGGCAGAGCGCTTTTCTGCATTGGTGGAAAAAGTACCCAATTATCATACTTGAGTAAAAGTAAAGATACCTTAATAGAAAATGACTCAAGTAAAAGTGAAAGTCACCAAGCAAAATACTGCTTGAGTAAAAGTCTAAAAGCATTTGGTTTTAAATATACTTAAGTATCAAAAGTAAAAGTAAACAAATAAATCGTTTCAAATTCCTTATATTAAGCAAACCAGACGGCACACTTTTCTTGTTTTTTTTATTGTACGGATAGCCAGTTGCACACTCCAACACTCAGACATAATTTACAAATGAAGCATTTGGGTTTAGTGAGTCTGCCAGGTCAGAGGCAGTAGGGATGACCAGGGATGTTCTCTTGATAAGTGTGTGAATTGGACCATTTTCCTGTCCTGCCTGAGCATTTAAAATGTAGTGAGTACTTTTGGGTGTCAGGGAAAATGTATGGAGTAAAAAGTACATTATTTTCTTTAGGAATATAGTGGAGTAAAAGTAAATAGTAAAGTAAAGTACAGATAACCCAAAAACTACTTAAGTAATACTTTAAAGTATTTTTATTTAAGTACTTTACACCACTGCTTTTCTGCTCAGACCAGCCTGCAGAAAAAAGCATTTTCTTTCCTCCACCACCATAACAACAGTCTGCATCCCAAATGTTACCCTATTCCCCCAGGGCTCTGGTCAAAAGTAGTGCACTATATAGGGAATAGGTTGCCATTTGGGAGTGGGATGCATACATAGTGGCTGTTGACAACACCTCAGAGAGGCAGGGAGCTCAGACCTGCAGAAAACAACCAAACAACCTTTCCTTTCCTCCACCAGGATCATAACACTGGGAACTGTGGGAAGTGCCCCCCTCCCATCCCTGTCCCAGGGCTATTTATATCTGACACGGTACATGTGGAGGTCTAGCATCTAGCATGTGCCGGAGGCTGGTAAGTAAGTGCTCTACTCACAGTGGAGGGGAGAGAAAGCAGCACTCACAGGGATAGTTTATTCATGATATAACAACTGATTCACTGGCCAAGTACCATAGAACCATAGTACCTCCATCCATCCATCCATCTCTTTATCTAACGCTGTCTAACGCGTAATGAGAGGCAGTAATGCCTGAGGTCTCCCACTTAGGAAAGCCCCACATTCTGCTGCAGAGCAGAGAGAGCCACCTTTGGGTCATCTAGTGGCATGTTTCTCCAGGGTTATGTGGTGCTAGTCAGAGAGGAGTATACTGCATTAGGAGAGAGGAGGGATCACTTACTTAGCAGAGCTCACTGTCACTGTCGCACCAGTCTTTCATGACATCCTAAACATTCAAATGAGTAGCTGATTTGGTTTTGGGTGCCGAGATTACTGTCACACATAAGAGCCCAACACACACGTTACAGTACATTCATGATATTATACACATACAGCAACACACACAAGTATGTGCGTATATGCTGCTCACACACACACACACACTGATAGGTTGATAAGGGTGATGGAGGGCTGTCCTTCTGTTCCATGTCCAGAACAGAACATTGGTCAAATCTAAAGGAGAGCAGATCCCTCAAAACCATCCATTGCTTTTAGATCAGTTAGTTTGCATCCCAAATGGCAACCTATTCTCTATGTAGTGCACTACTTTTGACCAGCCAAAGGCCACTAGACAGGGAATAGGGTGCCATTTGGGACATAGCCACAGTCTGATGTCATTCCTCATCCCTAATTCCAACTTGATTTACACCAACATCCCTCTTCTAAGAAGCCTGCTACACATCAACATCTCTCTCTACTGTGTATTCAGACAGACAAACAGTGAAATTATTTAATATAGAAACTATAGTTACTTTGTAGAGGGGTATATCTGAAAATGGTGGAATAGATTGTATTTCTCCTAAACTCTCTGCCCTATACTTTGTCCAAATGGCACCCTATTATAGTGGACTACTTTTGACCAGGGCCCTATGGGGATATTACCCACCTCTGCTCTTTATGAGTCTAACACTGTCTCGTCCCTAGTCTCTCTACAGTAACAGCAAATACCTGAGTTTCCATAGCCACTCTCACCAAGTGGTGCAAGACATTATAACCATCCACTGGGTTTTTTCATAGAAGCACTAAATAAATAGTTAATATCTCAGTCAAGTGTAGCCTGTCTTCTTTACTCTGTAGTATAAACTAGAATCCACGCTCCCTGCCACACTCCTTCCCTCCCTCCCTCCCTCCCTTAAAATGACTCTTTCCATCTTCTCTCCCCACCTAACACCTCCACCCCCCCCCCCCCCCCCCCCCCCACCTCTCTCACTCTGTCTTTCCTTCTCTCCCTCTGATCCTGGACTCAAACCCACTTAAATGTAACCCCCCCCCACCTCCCCCCATTTCACACCATGTTAACACCTCCCTAGTATAAACTAGAATCCACGCTCCCTGCCACACTCCTTCCCTCCCTCCCTCCCTCCCTCCCATATCATCCCATTTATGACCTTTTACCATAAATCTCCTTAAAATGACTCCTTCCATCTTCTCTCCCCACCTAACACCCCCCCCCCCCCCCCCCCCCTCCCCTCTCTCACCGTCGCTCCCCGGGGTGCTCGGCGTGTATTGCTGGGTGGTGATGGCCTCCTCCAGGCTGTCGATGACGCTGTTCTTATCTCTCAGCCTCTGGCGGTACGATGTCCTCAGGGCCTTCATCTGGCGGCGGTGCTGGGCCCGGTGCCTCTTCAGCTGGACCCGGTACTGATCAGCCTGCTGCTGCAGCTGCTGGAGGTGGGAGTACTGCTCCAGAAAACTCAGCAAGTGGGACATCACCGCCACCAAGGGAGACTCAGACATCAACTGGACCAGGAGGAAATGTGGGTTTAGATGTATTTCAGGCCTAGAAGCAATTGTACTATTTACTGCGTGAACTACTGTCTGTGTGTACTAAACCAAGGGAGACTCCCACAACTAGACCAGGAGGGAAATGTGGCTTTAGAAAGTTTAGATAATGCATCAGTTCTAAGAAGGTCATGGCTAGAACTAGAAGCAAACAGTACTATTGTGTAAATGGGACCCTATATTGTACACTACTTTTGACCAATGGCCTGTGGACCTATAGGGAATAGGGCGCCAAGGTGTTTGTGGTGAAGCCTACCTTTCCTGCCGTCTCCAGCTGTTCCTGGGCCTCCCTCCTCTTCTCGTCCTCCTGCTTAAAGGACAGGAAGGCACCCAGAGGAGTGCATGCTGGGATTTCGGGCACTTCACCGCCTCCACCACCATCATCACCTTCGTCACTCAGGGACAGGCCGTCACTATCACTGCTACTGCCTTGAAGAAAATACATCAACATTTGAATAAAGGGCATGAATTCATATGATCAATCACCATGAGAAATCACCATGAGAGCTATACCATATCAAAACAGTAGCTAACATCATTCCTGATATTCCTATTCTACAGTAGCTATTATCATTAGGCCTGGTATTTAAGTATTTATCGATCACCATGAAAAATATCTATCTATACCATAATAACAGCAATTATCACTGATATCTGTCAGTAGCAAGTACTATAGTTAAGTATTTAACCGGTGTTACAGATACTTCTATTTATAAACATTGTTGTCGTAAAGCATCCACTCACTGGAGTCACTCAACCTGCTGCCACGCCCCCTTTTCTTCCTCTCCATCCTGAGGGTGTGGCCTTTCTTCCTCCTGCTCCTTGTTTCCATGGAAACCCGTCCTGGCTCCTGATCACAGCAACAGACAGACAGGGTGATGGCAGAGAGCAGAAACAGACGTTAGTGTTACTAAATACTGTATTTACCTCCAACACAGACACAACACACACACACATACACACTGCCAGCCTGCAATGTCAATGTCAGCCCAGCTGCTGTTCCCGATATACAATTGACCTACACAATATGTATGACCAGCATGAACATCTCTCTCTACGTACATAAAATAGCATTTCAGCTGTACATTTGTGAGATTACCAGTAACATATCCCCCAGACAGTAAACTTACATAAATAGCTCAGTATCTATAGCAGTTTCCCTGCTGTCATGGGATTGGTGGTCCTGGTGCTGGTTACCGGTTGGTTGTCATCCTCTGATGACAAGACAAAGGAACCCAGTGGGACTGTAGCTACACACTGTTACTAGACTCTACTGAGGACTGTAGCTACACTGTTACTAGACTCTACTGAGGACTGTAGCTACACACTGTTACTAGACTCTACTGAGGACTGTAGCTACACTGTTACTAGACTCTACTGAGGACTGTAGCTACACTGTTACTAGACTCTACTGAGGACTGTAGCTACACACTGTTACTAGACTCTACTGAGGACTGTAGCTACACTGTTACTAGACTCTATTGAGGACTGTAGCTACACACTGTTACTAGACTCTACTGAGGACTGTAGCTACACACTGTTACTAGACTCACTACTGAGGCATCTACATACTACACATTGTGAGCTTCAAAGTGCACTATAGTAGTGCACTGTAGTGCACTATATAGGGAATAGGGTGCAATTTGGGATGCAGACGCTGTGACTAGACTCACCGCTGAGGCTCCATACTGGGCAGCTTCCAGAGCTTCTTCCTCCTCCTTCTTGAAGACAGTGTAGAAGATGTAAACTAGCAGGGAGTAGAAGGCATACATCTCCCCTCCGTCTGGGAGCCACTGTTACAGTGACAGCCGCAGAAATAGATACCCAGGGAGACACTGTCAAACTATAACACTGCCTCGGCTCACTCTGCAGAGAGGAGAAAGAGAGAAAGAAAAGGAAGAGAGAGAGAAAGGAGAGAGAGAGAGGGGGGGGAGAGAGTGAGAGGAAAGAGAGTAAGTGAGAGGAAAGAGAGTGAGAGAGAGAGAGAGAGAGAGAGAGAGAGAGAGAGAGAGAGAGAGAATGACAATGTCGTTCTATAGCCCATTAATTTTCAAGACACCAGATCTATTCCCAAGGAGTGAAGCCCATTGACTGACAACAAAGGCTCTGGCAGCTAAAAGATCAAATGCTGACGGATGAGGATACCACAGAGAAAGACCGATTGGCATAGATCTGGCTGGTTACGCTTGATCTTTCCCCAGAGGTTATCCTTGCATCCTCCTCTTTGTCCATTTTCTGATCTTAAAACGCTCCTCCTCTCCTCTCCTTCATCCCTCTGAAGCATTTGATCTTCTCCTTTCTTACCCATACTTGTCTTCATTTCATTAATGATGTCCATTCCAGACATTCCAACATTCTGCATTCCACCACAACATTCTGTGTCCTCCCTGTTTTGTCTGTTATTGTTAATGCTGAAGCACCCCTTGCAGCCCCTCTCCTCTCTGCTGCAGCAGCATCCCTGCACTGAACAGCAGCTCCTGTGTGATTCTCTCTCTCTCTCCTCCTCCTCTCCACTCCATCCATCCACAGGCTGCAGATGCAGCGGGCATGCTCAGTGCAGCTCTCTGCAGTGGTGAAGCAAGCAGCTGAGATGGAGATTGATTGTGTTGGGGGTTGTAGGGCCTCATGCTGGAGGAGAGGAGAGACAAGCCAGTCACTGATACTATCTGATGGGCACTCACATGGAAAGGATCAGTAGCCATTGGTTATGTGTGTACAGACACGAGTCACAACAACCCATTGTTTATGTGTACAGACACAAGTCACAACAACCCATTGGTTATGTGTACAGACACTAGTCACAACAACCCATTGTTTATGTGTACAGACACAAGTCACAACAACCCATTGGTTATGTGTACAGACACTAGTCACAACAACCCATTGGTTATGTGTACAGACACTAGTCACAACAACTAATTGTTTATGTGTACAGACACAAGTCACCACAACCCATTGTTTATGTACAGTACCAGTCAAACGTTTGGACACACCTACTCATTCAAGGGTTTTTCTTTATTTTTACTATTTTTTACATTGTAGAATAATAGTGAAGACATCAAAACTATGAAATAACACATATGGAATCAGGTAGTAACCAAGAAAGTGTTAAACAAATCAAAATATATTTTATATTTGAGATTCTTCAAATAGCCACCCTTTGCCTTGATGACAGCTTTGCACACACTTGGCATTCGCTCAACCAGCTTCACCTGGAATGCTTTTCCAACAGTCTTGAAGGAGTTCCCACATATGCTGAGCACTTGTTGGCTGCTTTTCCTTCACTCTGCCGTCCGACTCATCCCAAACCATCTCAATTGGGTTGAGGTCGGGGGATTGTGGAGGCCAGGTCATCTGATGCAGCACTCCATCACTCTCCTTCTTGGTCAAATAGCTCTTACACAGCCTGGAGGTGTTTTAGGTCATTGTCCTGTTGAAAAACAAATGATAGTCCCACTAAGCCCAAACCAGATGGGATGGTGTATCGCTGCAGAATGCTGTGGTAGCCATGCTGGTTAAGTGTGCCTTGAATTCTAAATAAATCACAGACAGTGTCACCAGCAAAGCACCCCCACACCATAACACCTCCTCCTCCATGCTTTACGGTGGGAAATACACATGCAGAGATAATCCGTTCACCCACACCGTGTCTCACAAAGCCAAGGCGGTTGGAACCAAAAATCTCCAATTTGGACTCCAGACCAAAGGACAAATCTCCACCGCTTGTGTTTCTTGGCCCAAGCAGGTCTCTTCTTCTTATTGGTGTCCTTTAGTAGTAGTTTCGTTGCAGTAATTCGACCATGAAGGCCTGATTCACACAGTCTCCTCTGAACAGTTGATGTTGAGATGTGTCTGTTAATTGAACTCTGTGAAGCATTTATTTGGGCTGCAATTTCTGAGGCTGGTAACTCTAATGAACTTATCCTCGGCAGCAGAGGTAACTCTGCGTCTTCCATTCCTGTGGCAGTCCTCATGAGAGCCAGTTTCATCATAGTGCTTGATGGTTTTTGCGACTGCACTTGAAAAAACTTTCAAAGATCTTGAAATTTTCTGTGTTGACCTTCATGTCTTAAAGTAATGATGAACTGTTGTTTCTCTTTGCTTATCTGAGCTGTTCGTGCCATAATATGTACTTGGTCTTGTACCAAATAGGGCTATCTTCTGTATACCCCTCCCCCCTATCTTGTCACAACACAACTGATTGGCTCAAACGCATTAAGAAGGAAAGAAATTCCACAATTTAACTTTTAAGAAGGCACACCTGTAAATTCAATACATTCCAGGTGACTACCTCATGAAGCTGGTTGTGGTGACCCGTACAGACACGGGTCACCACAACCCCATTGTTTATGTATGTACAGACATGAGTCACCACAACCCCATTGTTTATGTATGTACAGACACGAGTCACCACAACCCCATTGTTTATGTACAGTGAGAGAGGCCTGTAATTTTCATCATAGGTACACGTCAACTATGACAGACAAAATGAGAAAAATAAATCCAGAAAATCACATTGTAGGATTTTTAATGAATTTATTTGCAAATTATGGTGGAAAATAAGTATTTGGTCACCTACAAACAAGCAAGATTTCTGGCTCTCACAGACCTTTAACTTCTTCTTTAAGAGGCTCCTCTGTCCTCCAGTCGTTACCTGTATTAATGGCACCTGTTTGAACTTGTTATCAGTATAAAAGACACCTGTCCACAACCTCAAACAGTCACACTCCAAACTCCACTATGGGCCAGACCAAAGAGCTGTCAAAGGACACTAGAAACAAAATTGTAGACCTGCACCAGGCTGGGAAGACTGAATCTGCAATAGGTAAGCAGCTTGGTTTGAAGAAATCAACTGTGGGAGCAATTATTAGGAAATGGAAGACATACAAGACCACTGATAATCTCCCTCGATCTGGGGCTCCACGCAAGATCTCACCCCGTGGGGTCAAAATGAT